GTGTGGAAACCGAGGCCAAGAGGTGACCCAAACCTACAATTAGCTGGTGGAACCAGGATTAGAACTCAGGGTCTCTTGACACTCAGCCCCCACTTCTTCTAGTGAAATAGCACCAAATAGTTGATGATAACATGTAATGGGCACTCCTGCCCTGCCTACTGTTGGTGGCCATTGTACAATTGCTGAGATTGTTCCTCGTAAGCCCATGTTCCAAGTAACCACCATTGACTAGACCATGTCAAGACAATTGCAACCATTTTTCCTGGATGCAGACCTCATCCCAGTAATCCGTGCCTTGGTCCCTTAAATCTGGACTACTGAAACTTGCTTTTCTAAGAGTTAACTCTGAGTGCCTGTCAACAGCTTCAAACAATGCAGCATTCAGCATGCCCCTATGATGCCAGGAAGCACAGGGAGAGCATCTCATGGCAGTTTTCTGTTCACTCTGCTAACTGCGAGTTACCGTCCAGGGTAAAATTTATGAGTTGATCATGATCTATGAAACCTTGAAAGCTCTGAAACCCAGCTATCAGAGACATTATTTCCGGTTTATTCCCCCACCTAAAGTGAGATGAGGGCGGGTTTCTGTGCCCTGGAATTCAGTTCTGCTGGATATATGTAGCTTCACAACATTCAAACTGAGATCTTGTAAAATACATATTTTTGACTAGACTTTCCACAGCAGGGGAAGCCTCTTCCTCTGGTATTTAATCTCCTAAACGCTATCCACTGTCTCAAATTTCCTTGAGGCAAGAGAGTTAGCTACAGCTGAAGGTGAGGCAATATGTGCTTCTCATTCTTGTCATGTCATTTAGTTCTTTTTAACTTGATTGAAGGGGGACAAGATAACATATTGGTGGCACCTTAGAAATATTTCTAGGGATTTCTTTCTGTTCTCTTAACTGGTGGCACATAAGTTTTCCTGATAAAGAAAAAAATCAGTTGGTGTAGTTGTGCTTAGTTATTATTCTGGAGTCTGAATCTTAATGTTGCAATGCCTGTTTACAGGGGAAATGGTGGGCACCTTGCAGGAGAGTTACATTATGAAGATGGAGTGGGGTTTTTCTCCCAGATGGGGAGTATTAATGCCTTAGGCATGGCTGGTATAGAACGTAAGTGAATGGCCTGGTGACCACTTGGTTTACAAGAGTAGGACATATATTGAGTCATGGCTTGTCCATGCCTTGGTCATTTCTGCTGTAACCTCCTACTCTGAGGCTCTCTGCTTTTCACCCTCATCTCCTCCAGTCTGTTAAAATTACTGCTGCCTCCCCTCCCGCCACTCTGACCACATCACCTTGCCACTTACTCCTAAATTCCACAGGGACGGGGCCTGGCCCTAGCAGTACAGGTCACAACCAAACAGCTATACACAAGAGAAGAGACATCATTGAGTGGACTGTGGTCTTTGAAACTGTAATGCCTCATGCACCGAGAGGATTTTTGAGTAGCTTCCTGAAGGAGAGAGAGGGTGAGTGGCAAACACTAAGGGCCTGCTCGTGTTTCTTTTGGAGTTTTGTTATTGACTTCAGTGGGAGCAGGATTGGGCCCTAATTGTGAGGCTTACAGGTTTGAGGCTACGTAATGGAATCAAATGGACCAGTCAATACATTATGAAGTACGTAAACTTTATTTTATCTTATTGACACGGTGGCTTTTCAATAATGTGGGGCTGTCAGCTTAGAATGACTTTTAATTGTCAAAGCAAATTCAGAGACCTATTGCCGATTGTTAATATGCTGAGTAATCTAACTTGGTGAGTATTTTTATGCGCTTATACCCAAACATGGTAACTATATGCAACATACACACACCAGTGATTTATGTACCTTACAACTGCTTCATGTTTACCTTTGTGTGTATAGTAAGAGGTCATTTTTTCAAGTGGATCTTTTGGCAATATGCTTCTGTTACACTAAGAACAGAGATTCCAAGGCCACCATTGCCCAGACACTGACATTTAAAAAAAACTATTAATGAGATTTTATTAAAAAATCTTAAGACAGTCCCCCTTGCAACAATGAATGCAGCCTCGTTATATAAGAATTACTTGGAAGGATTGCATGGTACTTGATGTGTAGTCTAGAAAGAATTTGAGACAGACACAGCAACTTTAAATATAGACCAGAGCCTTAAGTTTGAATATGTAAGGCATGAGGAGAGAACTTTGGCAGGGTGTATGTGAAATGTTAGAACAACCAAATCTGTCAAAAGAAAATCAAATGGCCAATAAAAGAACTATTTAGTACATCACCAAAACCCAGGACTAGTATTTAAAATATAATAATTTACTTCATCCTTTGCCTTCCTTCTTCTTTCCCTTTGTCATTAAATGAGGTTAACTCACTAGATTAAATAAAGCATCCTCTTTTGCTACTGCCTTTAAGGTCTTTCACACTTCATAAAGAGCAAGGATATAGCTTAGTGAGATGGCTCAGAGGTTCACCCTTTGGCGATTTTAGACTGTAGACTCTAAGCTGTGGCATACATAAGTCAAAAAAGTGCCAAACATTGCTTGATTTTTTCTTTCACAGTTCAAGTCAATGAATGTCCTCCATCTTAATAATATCTAACATGGCGCTCATTAAGCTTAAGGTCTTTTTGCAAGCCTTGTAGGTATCCTGTCAGATGGCGCAAAATATAAATGTAATACAGTAGTTTGTCTCTTCTAAAGTTACTATGGACTGTATCTGCCACTCAAAAATGTTCTTCCTTTGCCAGCTGTGTCTTGTGGCGATATAAAAAGTTCTGTCAAATGAGTTGTCTCAACGTTGTCCATTGCAGGAGGAAAAATAAATTCCTTCTGCCTTGATGAACATATACAACAGAAAGCCCTAATTAGAGTGTTATTGAATTATATTTTCTATAGTGCCAAAAAGTATGCCCGATACGTTCTAGACAATCATATATACGAGCAAGATCCCTGCTCTGGAAAGTTTACAATGTAAAGCCCCAATCTTGCTAGCAGAGCTGCATGAGTGGGCCTTTGTATTGACCACAATAGGATTCCATGCAGGCATAAGCCTTGACTTGTGTGCCTCTGATTGCAGGATTGGACCTTAAAATCAGATTCTGTCAACCTTATTTGCATTGATTAGTAGTTTATTCCATAAGCAGTCACAGCGAAAGCTCACTGAGTAAGATCCTACACCACACAAGTAAGAGTGAAGGATCTGATCCTATTTAGACACTATAGAAATAAAGGAAGGGATGCAAAAGAAGTGGTGATGTTTAGCATGTGACTGGTTAGTTCCACATTTATAATATTGTGTGTTTCATTAACACCTGAAGGAAGAGAGGGCTAGGTTTTATAGAGATTTTAGAGGAACTGTGGTTTAAAGCAGAAAGGATAGAAGGCCAAATCAGGAAAGGAATTTCGGGCATAGTGAGCTGCATAGATGTGGAGATGAGAGTGGTGACTAGAGTTGCTTTTACCATCATAATGATTTTTGATGGAAAATATAGTTTCTGGCAAATAAAAATTTTCCATGGGAAAATTTCAATTTCACCAAAATTTTTCAATTTCAATTTTTCTCTTTGGGAAAACCAAAATTAGATATGTTGTTTTGGGCTGGTTTGACGCTAATCAAAATATTTCAGTTTGTTGAAGTGTCCTGAAATGTTTCATTTTGAGTCAGTTCTACATTTCCCTCTGGTGCCATGTGGGAACTGCAGCTTGGGTATCTCATATTCCCCCGTCCTCTCCTATGGGCTGGGCTGGTGGTTAGTTGTGTGACTTGGATGGAACTATATTACTTGTTCTGAAATAATGTCAGTAAATTATGGAGTACAAACTGGGAGTCAGTAGCTATTAAATGCAAAAAGTTAGTGAAACATTAAGGTTATAAATTTAAATGCACAACTGTCATATGAATTTGTAAATAATTTGTATAATCCACAGTATGTAGTTTTTGGAAATAATTGTAAGGGACCGATTTGAATATCCTTCCTAACTTGAACCAGATTCTGATACCCTGGCTCATGTTGGGTAGCTCTTTATTCAATAGTGGTCGCATTGACTTGATAGAAATATTTGTAGAGTAAGATATTCAGTGTAATTGAGATGTCTGAATTTGGCCCAATGGAGTGAGGATGGTAGAATCTTGACCTAATTCTGTATTATGGCATACTGTTATAGTCTCTTTCAAATGTGTTTATTTGAGAAAAATGCTTTTCTGTATTTTAATAATATTTTTTGTTGATGTGTGTCCATTTTTACGACTGCCAAGAAACAAAGCTAAGGTAAGGTGGGCAATATAAGTTGGTTGGCCTCCAGAGCAGTGTAATTTAGGGGGAGAAATTCCACATTTGGTGAGAAAATATTTTATCGCAATTTTTTTACTGGCAACTCTTTCAAGTAGCTCAAGGGGTTGGAATGTTAGAGGAGTCCCCGGGGAAATGGGCTAATAGGCAGAGTGCAGGAGAGGCAGTTAATGGGGCATGGCTAATGCAACTGACCATGATTTTCAAATACTTTAATTTATTCCCAAACCCTTATGTCCAGTAAATATTATTTGATTTAATTACTACATATCCAAGTGCAAAAATATTTTGCTCTAGCTGTCTCTCTTAGACTGAATGTGTAAGAACATGAGAAGTTGTAGAGACTATAATAACTATGTAAGGCAGCAACAGGTGCCTGTGCTTGTAAAGTAAACGATGTAGTCTGGACTTTGTTCAGTTTCTAAAGACTGGAAAGTGTCGTGTACAGATTCAGAAAATGAATATGGAGTATTTCAAACACCCTTTTTTACATTACGGATGAAGATATTAACTGGTGCATTTGAAGCACAAAAGAAACATTTGTAAAATCCAGTTGGTTCCAATGGTTTGTACATGTCTTTAACATTAAAGCAACTCATCAGAGGAAGAAATGAAATGGTCATATGTAAATCCATCCATATGCCCAAATGCATAAATAGCCCTAACTGAATCCTGAGGCCCAGCATAGCCTTTTTAAAATATTTTGTTGGTGATGTCATCACTTTTGTTGCCAATACACTTGTTGCTCTCCTCCCTCTGACTACTTTAGTTCCAACACAGTGACTGGGAATCCAGACTGCACTGGGAGATAGGCAGAAGCTGAGGAAGAAATAATATCTGACCTAGGGTTCCAGAAGCTGTAATACCGTTTCATTTATCCTCTTCAGGTAAATTATGGGCTACTTTTTAGATCTACTTTTCCTTTGTACAAATAAAATATGAAGCTGATAGAGCAACATGAGGACACGGGAATTTGTATAACTGCATTACCACATATTGAGCTTTTAATATTTCATTAGTAAACTAAGACAATTTCCAGTGAAAGCCTTCTGTCTTCATTATGGTATGATACTGAACTTGCTCTTGTTTTCATCATAGCTGTTACTTTCTAATCTGGCTTCTCCTTTAAGAGTTTGTTTGCATGGCTGCATTTCTTTTTTTGCCCAGAGCTTATTTCTCTTTTTATTTTTTAAAGAAGTTTTCATTTTATTACACAGCATACAAATAGGATTAGGTAGCAGGATACTCGTCACAAATGTTATCACTTCTCCATGTGTGTCCTGAGAAACATACACAAATCTGGACTTTCTGTGATTAAAGTGAATCACACAAAAACAATAGCTGATTAAAAGTTTTGGAATATATTTCAAGAGGCATTACTACTTAAGAGAACTGTAGCCACTTGAAATGCAGGAGTGTCAGAAAAGTTCAGAGAAAATCCTATTTAATCTACTAGCATTAGCCCATGAATTTTGATGTTTTTCAGAAACAAAACTGTATAACCCTGCCTCTCCCTTTTTAGTCATAACAAAAATCCTGTTTTCTCTTCCAAGCATTGCAAAGAAAGACTGAATTTAGTGATTTTTCCAAGTTATACTTGCAGTATTAAAGTAAAACTAAGGGAATGAAGAGAGAGAGAGAGAGAGAGAGATGTAAATATTATAGAGTTTAAGAATTGAATATCAGAGAAAAATTTCTAGCTACCTTATTTTAAAATAATGATACAATAACAAATATTTGAATGTTAGTAATTTTAATAGTAATATGTTTGCAGTAAGTATCACTTGAAAAGAATATGGCAGAAGTTAAAAAAAAAACTGTGCAAGTCAGAGCTGACTTCCAAGGATTGTTTGTTATGTGAGATGTATTTTGGGGGTGACACTGAGAACATGTTTTCTCAAATGGTGGAAATCAAAGAAGGTGATAAGCTGGTAGAGATACTCTTTGCTTTTTAACTTCTGCAGCACACTAACTTTTAGCAATAGAAATAACATTTACTTTTAGTAATATATTTAGCTGTTAGGCTTCCTAGCTTCATATGTCTGTTCTGTTGGTGTGTTTTTTTCAGGCGAGACTCTGACCTGGAGGCTGATCTCAAGGATACTCTTGGAGGATTCCCTGAGGGTTTCCCTTTGCTTCAACTGTTAGCCTCCGTGCTTCCCCTGATCATTCCTGAAAATGGACCGATCCACGCAAGAGCTTTTCCTCAACTTCATGATTGTCCTCATAACTGTGCTCCTCATGTGGATTCTGGTGAAATCTTATCAGGAGTAAAAGACTGTGCCATATGCCGTGAATGAATTTAAGTTTGTGTCTGCAGAAGTATGTGACATCTACTGTACACCTGTGTGATTAGCTTCATGTAGCTCTAGAATGTCATCTTTTTTACTCTAAAACACCTGTTGCCTGAGATAATCTGTGTGTTTTACATGGGTCTATGATGATGCAATTATTTTATTCTTTGGCAATCCAGCTGTAAAATGTACAAGGCAAGATCCTCAGTAGTTGTTACATATGATTGTCCCTCCAACAGTTACTGTCTCCATGAACGGAGACAAAAGAAGCATAAACCTACTGAGCTGAAAGAGATGTGGAACCTTTTCATTTGCTCACCATTGTACTCTCCTGAATAAAGAAGAAAATATAAGACATGTTTTGTAGTAATTTTTATCCTTTCCTTGATCTGATTACTTTTCAATGAAGGGTATGGTGTGTTTACTTGAGAAATACAGAACAACAGCCAGGGAAGTTTGGTGGTTTGATTGCCTTTAGTTAAAAAGTACAAATAAAGGTCCACTTAATTGCTACTGATTCCAGTGGAACTCATACTGAGTCACATGAATACCAAATGAGTTCATCACAATAGTTAGTACAGTAAAATAGCCAGAGAATTTTCATGGCTAGACCATTATTTATGCTACCAGTTCTGTGAACATAGACTTTAAAGAAATCCTTTGCCTTATTGCTGGCATTGCCATATAATTGCATCTTCTAGAGATGGATTTCAGATGTCACCTTTAGGGTCTCATTCTTGGATTTCATAGAATCCTAGAATCATAGGGTTAGAAGGCTATGCAGGGGGCATCTAGTCTAATCCCCAATCCCCCAGTTTCACCAAACTGTGATTGGCACACGAGGTGGAGGGAGCAGGGGCATGAGTTGGTATAAATTATTACAGCAGCCCCAAGGCTGCTCTAACTTCAAGAGTCGAAAAGGTTCCACTGCAGCAGCCAGAGATCACCAGATCACTCCAGTCATGCCTCCTTGCCCTCAGCACCTCCCCTATGCAAAGGGCTGCAAGGGAGTGCTGTAGAGTAAATAGGCTGGTTTTATGCTGCTTGGAGTCTTCCAGCAATAGAGGACTCATCAGTTATCTACTTTGGCCAACTTTGGGACTGTTACACAACAGTGCTTAGGTTTGGACCCAGACAGTCCCTTCCAACCCTTTGATCTGTCAATCAGCAACTAAAGTCTTCCTAAGAATTCAAACATGCCATCCTAATGGCTTCAAAAGATATAACCTTTTAGATAAAATGAGGCTTGCATTAAGAAGTCTGGATCGTTTAAATACAGCTCACTGTACTTACATTGGCTTGCTTCCTAGCTAGGACACTTAAAGGAATGAGTAAAGGTCAGGAGATTAGGTGTATGTTATCCAAGGATGATTTGTTATACTTTTATTTAGAAGCATAATGATAAGCATGTTTTGGGAATCAGGTTAGTGCTTTAAAGGACAATACTGAAAATCTCAGGCTGCATGGCATTATTCCATCTGCTACAGTTAGCTGTTGTTTAAAAGTTGATATTAAGTAAGTGTCATTTTTCTGTTTAGTCTGTACTTTCCACGCTGTTCTATAATTTTCCTCCTCCTCTGTTTTCTCAAAGATGATTGCAAAGCTGTTTCTGCAGTTAATAGACTATATCCTCTCCTGTAAAGAAATTCTCTCTTTAGCAGGAAGTTTGTTAAACTATGCAGCGTAGTTGTAGGTGTGTCAGTCCTAGGGTATTAGTGAGACAGGGTGGATGAGGTAATATCTTTTATTGAACCAGCTTCGGTTGGTGAGAGAGGCAAGCTTTCGAGCTCCACAGAGCTCTTCTTCAGGTCTGGGAAAGGTACGCCATGGATCACAGCAAAATGCCAGGTGGAACAGATTGTTTAGCATAAACTATCACATAGCTTAGCATAGCTATCACGTATCCCTAAGAGACCATTCACGGTAGAGTGGCCCGTTAACCCCTCTGCAGTCGTAGGACAAAAAGAGGGAGTTAGTGGGTAACAGATTGTAATGAGCCATAAATCCAGTGTCTCTGTTCAAGCCATGATTTTTAGTAACTAGCAGAGTTGTGAATTTAAGCATCCAGACTCATCTTTCAAAAGTATTGTGCATGTTTCCTTTGAGGATGAGGGTTGATAGGTCAGATATAGAGTGAGCGCTTTGTGAAAAGTGTTCACCCACAGGTGACAGGGTGTTTTTGTCTTTTATCATTTTCCTGTGTGACTTCATCGGAGAGTGTAGAGATTTTCTGGTTTCACCCACATAGTTGTTGTTAGAGCTTATGCTCTAATAAATTTGTTAGTCTCTAAGGTGCCACAAGTCCTCCTGTTCTTCTTTTTATAGTTGTTGTTGAGGCATCTAGTGCCCCGGGTGAGGTACACCACATGTTGTGATAGGCATGAGTAGGATCCATGGATCTTTAAAAGGGTGTGGTGGGGGGGTATTGATCATTTTGCTGTGATGCTGGGAGTATCTTTCTCAGACCTGACAAAGAGCTCTCTGTGGCTCGAAAGCTTGTTAAAATGTAAGTCTTGTTTGCTCTTGGCTATGACTGAACTCTTTTCCATTCAACATCTTCAGGTGATGTCTACTCTAGAGACCTTACAGCAGCACAGCTGCGCCACTGTAAGGTCTCCTGTGTAGCTGCTCTGTGGGAGAGAGCTCTCCCATAGGCATAATTAAACCACCCCAATGAGCAGCAGTAGCTATGTCATCAGGAGAGCATCTCCCGCCAACATAACGTTGTCCACACCGGTGCTTCTGTCTGTGTAGCTTATGTCAGTCAGGAGTTGGCTTTTTTCACACCCCTGAGTGATATAAGTTTTACCAACAAAAGTGCTAGTGTAGATATGGCCTCAGATAGCATTAAATTAGCCTGTGCCAACAAAAGCTGCAACCTTGGGTTTTGACCCATCTGACACCAGGAGCTGCCACAATTCCACTAATTGACACAATTTGTTTGCATTCCAAGAGCACATCTGAAGGCAGCGAAGTCTAGGAAAGGACATGGAAAATCTATTTTTAAATATAGTGAATACCTGATAATTCAATATGATTCTCATCTTTCACATACTGTGCCTTTCTATCCCGGCTGGGCCTCTCGCATCAGGTATTATCAGATCTACACTGTGGCTTAAAAATAGATTTTCAGATTCTCTCGTGCATCACAGCTTAGGACTTAGGACATTGCAGCTGTACACCCGACTCTCACCACTTCAGGGGTGAGAAACACTCTGCGCACCACTTGGGTTGGAGGAAGCTTTCCTGTTGATTCATATACTGCATAGCAACACTTTGAGTGGCATAAGATACTGAGCCATCTTACACATTTGGTCTGGTCACAAGACACCGTGATAAAAAATTACTGATACTTCACTGTTGAAGAAGCTGCTAACTATTTTGGCCAGAGTTTCAGAACTGCTGAGCAACCCAACTCTCCCTGAAATCTATGGCAGCGTTAGGTGTGCAGCACCTTTGGACATTAGCTTATCTGAGTAAATAGATATGTTATAAGTGCCTTGCTTTTCAGGCATTTCTGACTTTCTGGAAGAATTTGGATGAAATTCCTCATGCATATTCTCAGGGCAGAGGTGAATTGTCTTTGAAAATGGTCATTTTTTCAAAATCCAGTAGCTCAGAAAAGACCAAATGGAATATTCTCAATTTTCCAGAGTTAAAGCAGGATGTTCTAGTGGTTGATACTAGGATTCAGATCTAGAATCAGTTCTGCCAAGTCACTTAAGCTGTCTGCTCTTCATTTCCCAATGGATTATTTCTAAAACTTCTGGCCTGACACGGAAAAATACTTTCAGGAAGAAATTTGCTTTACAAACACAGTTTAGCCATTTGAAGATGAAGGTGCTGTGCATGCAGATATTGGAAGCATTATATACTGAATACACTGCATGCATTTATATAGTGTATTTGCATATGCCATCCTATATGAATTTGAAAACATTCAAATAAAGATAAGACCATTTATTTGAGTCTGAAATCACAAACTCAGACATGTTCATGTGAATGCTCATCAGTTGTGCGATCCTTCAAATTTATTTAGGCCAAAATTTTCAAACTGGGCATCCAAATTTAGGCACCTCAATTGATGTGGCTAGATTTTTCTGAGAAGTGCAGAACATCTGCAGCTGCCAAGGTCAATGGGAATGTACTTTGGAAAATCAGGCCACTTTTATTTAGGTGCCTAAATATGGATCAATGAGTGTCTTTCTATTAGTGTCAGCAGGCTTTGGATCAGACCCTAGATGTCTAATTGTAGACATCCAGGTTTCAAAGTTTTGGTCTCAGGACCCAATTTTAAGAAGTGTTGAGCACTCATAACTTCAGCTGAAGCACACTGGAGCACAGGGTGTTCAGTGATTTTGAAAATCAGGTGACTGATTTGGGTGCCTAAATACGGCCAAACTTTAGGCATCCATATTTGAAAATTTTAGCTTACAATGAAAAATTGGTTTTTGACTAAGTTAATTTTTTTGCAAAAAGTGTCTGCTTTCTGTGACAAATTTCACCTTTTCTTTGAAACACTCAATGGCTGAAAGCTGAAATATTCAGCTGCCACAGCGCTTCGTGGGAGTGTTGTTCACTTGCTTCATATCCCCATTCTTTTCTGTGGGCTGAACCCCCCCAGCCAGAGTACATCTCCTGTGAGGCACCATAGTCAATGACTCCCATGATGAACTGCTTCCCTGCTCCAAGAGAAGGAAACCACGATGCATCATGGGAAATGTAGTGCAACCAGGGAGCCTAGCCTATAGAGAAGAAATAGGCCATGAAGCATGTGGTCTTCAGCTCCCATGAGGTAGTATAGATACCTTTTGATTTTTGGCCAAAATTTTTTAATTTTCAAAGTTTCATTAAATTTTACCATGGAAAGCTTAGAAAATTATTCTGTATGTGTGTGGTTTGGCAAAATATTTCACACAGAATCCCCTCTCACCTCCATCTTTCTGACCACTTCCACTGGACATATCAAGATAGTACTACAATTTAGGTATATGGTTTCTTTCTGGACCAAACCAAGAAAATGTTAAGTATTTTGGTCCAGCTCCGCAAAAGGATCTGGACCATTTAAACTACTGTGGCACAAAACAATACAAGTGTGGTTCTATTTATGCAGGTCTGTTTGTAAATGCCTTAAAGGCATTGGAACATTCTTTCAATCAGCAAACAACTTTGCATAATAATCGATTGTTTTTACTGGGGCCAGGAGTTAAGTAAGATCAGAAGTCCGACAAATGCGGACTCTCTTGGATTATATTGCAAGGGGCATTAAATCTTTCTTCACTCATACAGCTGAGATGGTTTGTCCCCTGTACACAAAGCTTGCTCACAGGTTAGCATCTTAATAATCTGGACTGGAA